AAGTACAAGGACCTTGAAAGAGAAATCTCGAAAATGTGGCATATGGGAACATCAACAATTCCTATTGTAGTTGGAGCCCTAGGACTGGTTGGAAAAGATTGCAGTAGACTAATTGAAGGGATTCCTGAAAGTCCATGCCTCAAGGAGATACAAAAAATTGTTCTGACAAGTACAGCCCACACCTTACGAAGGGCTTTATCTATGTAATTTAATTTTTTTTTTTTTCTTGTCAGTGGAAAGTCATGACGCCATTTCTAACCTTAGGTCCCTGGGCGGGACCCGGAAAGAAATGTGTAAACGCCAGAAATCAAAGAAAATAAAAATAATAATAATAATAATTTTCTTTTGTTTAGCAGGAGGTGATGGAAAATGGTATATAGAAATCCGAAGGCATATTGTCAAGGCGAAACTATTAAGAAAAGAGGACATTTTCGTTAGGAACGAAGAAGGTGCGCTTGCATTTAATCTATACGGCAGTAAGTGCTAGACAATTAGCTCAAAGATGAAGAGGAGATTAGAAATGTGCTTCAGCATAAGGATGTTTAGAATACCATGGATGGAACATATGAGTAAACGAGAAATATTTAATATGCTGTAAGTGTCAAATTCTCCACGCTCTTCTTCTTCTTCCTTATGTGACATAGAATTTCTGATTATTGTATTTTTCGTTCCCATTTTCCTTTTAAAAATTCTTGTTAACCGCAAATAGCGGCCTTGGGATTCTAAACAACCTCTGTAAAAGCAAATCTCTATACCTCTATTCCCACCTTCATCAGTGAGGAATTGTTCCAGCATTCACTGTGATATTGGCGCTTTGATATTATATGGCAGTTCAGGCAGTCATTTCTTTGTCTGTAACGAAATGTTCCTCTGTCTTAACATTTTGTTAATCCTCTGGAATGTCTCGTTCCCTATTCCAATGCGTCTTCGGATTTCTGTGGAATATTTTCCATCGTCTGATATAACACTTCCAAGATTCAATTTCTACAGTTTTCTTGATTCTCGTGTCTCCAATTTGTTGCTCTCGTGCTGGGGAGTTCCTATAACCAACGCCTATAAAATATAGAAATATATGGCTTATTAGGGAGACACATGCTGATGAAATATTTTAAGGCCAAACCTGTTACGGTGTTATTATGGAAGACATTGGTAAGGCACTGCTCCTAAAGTAAAAAGATGCTCGTTCAAATTTTGCCAGGAATTTATTCTTTATTTCTATATCGTGCTCTTCAATTAATGGTCGTAGAATAATGAACTGGAACTTGTGATGAAATACTTCAGTAAAAGGAAAGATATTTCTTTTTTTCTTTTTTTCAATAACTCTCCCATTTCTTTCTTTTTTGTTCTTCTTTCTTTCTTTCTTCTTTTATTTCCTTAAATAACTATTACATTTTGCAGCTTTTCTCTCTTTTACATATTTTTCTTTTTTCTTCTTTCCTTTCCTTAAATAACTATCATATTTAGTAGCTTTTCTTTATTTATTTACTTTTAATAACTATACTATTTTCTTTTCTCTTAATTTATACTTTTAATAAGTTTAGCACTTCGCATCTTTTTTTTCTACGTTTCTATCGACTATCTAGATTGCTGCAATAACAATTAGAAAGGCAGTCTAGTAAAATAGTGTCTGACATTAAAGTGGGGGAGAATCAGAGGTCTTTCATTAAATTTTACTATACGTAAAAGTTGCATCCATTGACATGCATCATCACTTGGCGAACGTTTTTATCTTATCCTATATATAAGGATTTGGCACTTTCAACTTATACAGGCTAATGAAAAATGGACTATACTGATATTGTTGTTGAGATATTATCGCTAAATTCAAGGTGTTAGATTGAATAATAATGTTTTCTCAATGCACGCCATTTTCTAGTGTGTCTTTTGAGTAGAGTTTATTATCTTTTAACAACTAAAGTCAGGTGGACATTTTATCATATAGGTATGTTATTGCCATTAGAATTATTTTGATGCATAAAGACAAAATTCGTCTAACAAGGGACCTTGTCAAGGCAAATGCAAGGCTTTTATTTTGTAACAGGTATTTATATACAAGAGGAAAAATGTTGATTTTTCAAATTTTTTAAATTTAAGAACGCTCATAAATATTCATCAGGTTAGCCAAGATGTTGTAGGACTCCGTCTGTTCTGCTATTACTCCTGTGGGGGAAGAGAAGGATTTTTAACTTTCCGTATGTAATGAACTTCACTGGAATTCGAACGCAGCTCTCCGTGCTTCTATCCATTAATCCACTTTGCCCCCAAGAAATTTACATTGAGTAAAAGATCAGTTTGGAATATTTTCAGTATCATTGTACATTATTATTAACTCGCTTAAAAGCTGCACTCCGTGTGGACTTTTAAGTTCGCTCCTGCAGAAAATAATTGGGCCTCTGGCCTAAAACGCAAGCGATCTTTGGTCCAGCTTAGAAAACAGTAATAATAATTTTGAAGAAATAAACTTGATTTTTTTTCAATTCACTCCATTGAATTTCAAAACCTCGTTTTAATTCTGACTAGCGGTATAAAGACAAAATCCAATTTGGGCTGATATTCCGATTTGGGATGAAATTCCAATTCAGGCCGAAAATTGAGTTCTTCAAATAACAAACTCTGTGGAAATGCAATTGAGTCGAGTTCTTCAAATCAAAAAATCTGTGGAATTTCAAAACCTGACGTCACAAAATCTCTCACTTTAACACTGTCATTTTGAAGAAATAAAATTCATTTCCTGAATTCACAAAGTTTTCGAAATATTTTAAATTGAATTTAAAATAATGTTTTTTTTTAATTTCCAAAGTTTTTGTGCTACTTAAAACTCAATATAAATTAAAAACTTTTAAAATCACAAACTTTTTTTCAGTTATTTCAAAATTTGAAATTTTAACTGCTCCCTCCGGGCGTAAATCCCAACGCTGGATGTTCAAGCACCAGATGAAGGACAGATTTTCAATTCTGAGATCATCCTGATCTCAAAAAGATATATATCTATGTAGAGCAAATGGGGTCCAGACGGTTTTCAGACACACGGACCAACAGAAAGAATTCGCCGTTTATTTCTTTAGATATCTTTCATTTTACTATAGTCATTTTTTTTCTATCGCAACTTGCAGATCATTATTCTACGATAGTTAATTGAACAGCACGACACGAGAATAAAAAATAAAGTCGCTGGCAAGATTTAAATGAGCATATTTATCCATGAGCTTTGAATTGGACTCATTAGAACCAAGAAAGTATATTAAACTATTTGGGCCGTGCCACAACAGACGACGGAAAATGTAACACTGTAAACTAAAGAGCGAAATATGCCTTCAAGAAACTAATCACAATATTAAGACATCGGAATATTTCGTTAGAAACAAAGAAGGATAAAGTGCTTTCCTGTAATGGCAGAGAATCATGAAGAATTTCCTTACACAGACTTGAAGCGTTCGATATGTGATTCTACAGAAGAATGCGAAACTATGGTAGATAGAACACATAGACAAAAAGAATGTTCTAAAGAATATAGAAATTAGAATACTTAAACTTTAAATCCAAAAGAGAAAATTCTGGTGTTGTTATGTGGAAAATGGGCTTGGAGATTTTAAAACTCAAAAGACATATTTAACCTATTGTTGTGGTAGGATCCACCTAATTTGCATAGTGGAGTACCGACCATATAAATATGGTTGGTACCAGGGGAAGAGGGAGGAATCAAGAGATTCAACCAGAGACTCTGCCCGACTGCGACTCAGTCAACACATTCTCCAGGAACGGTCTTACCAGGAATATACAAAAGACTATATGTAAATATTGTGTACACTTTCTTGTTTCAATACATTTTGTTCTAAGTACATTTTGTGTTGCATTATTATTCCATGCATTAGTCAAGTTTCAACACATATCTAATGAGTTTGGTTGAATAGGACAAAGAGGAATAGAAAAGTGTCCAACATTGCTTAAAGCGGGAATAGAAAAGTGTCCAACATTGCTTAAAGCAGGAAGTTGTGGAGAGCCATCGCCCACATCCTGGAAACACACGGCACATAAAAAAAAACGAATTGACTGATTGATTTGCTTTTTACGGCTTATCAAACTTTCGCAGGTCAAAACCAGAAAAATCTTTTTTTGATTATAAGATATTTTTTTAGATAATAATGACTTGCTGATACAAGTACTGTTAATTAACCCATAGATGGGAAGATAAGTGGTTGATCCATGCCTTTGTCAAGAATATTTGCGCGTAAGTGAATATAACGAACCCAACGGGAATTGGAACACGGCTCTCCGGTCAAAAATGTTCGTGTCATTATCTATCACACTACCAGCACATCCAAAGTTACAGCACCTGGTATTCCCAAACGTTCACCCATCCAGGTAATAACCAGGGTCGACGTGCCTTAACTTCAGTAATCCTGGATATGACGAGAAACTACATCCGACGGCTAGACCTCTGATCGGGAGGTTTTGAGGTGCATGGAACCACCTCTTAATTGCTATTGTTCCCAGGTCCACCTTGTGCCGGGTGGGAGTACCTGTTAAGGGCCACAGCTATGGGCAAATAGTTAACCCCCAAACTGGGGTTGAAACATTATGAAAGTATAAAAATAGATTTTTATAGTAAAACTTCCAGCAATACCTTTTGGAAAAAAATTAACAGCAATACATTTCACTCTCGGCAAAAAAAAAACAAAAAAACTCTTTACAAGAGTATGGCAATGAAACCTGATCGACAAATTCATTTCTTACAAAGAATGCATATTCTTTCATACGAACCTATCCTAAAAATCTTGTAGCCCGTTTAGGATATGCTGTAAAACAAAATAAACCAAACCAATTAAATTCGGTGATCGTATGGGATTCGGTGAATCAACCTGAGATAAAAATAAAAAAGCTGGAGGAAAAAAAAATCTATTTCCAACTGGAATTGGAACTCGGCTCTCCGGATTGCCAATTCCGTGCTGTTATCCGTTACACCACAAACTGACAGTACCTGGTACCGTTACACTACAAACTGACAGTACCTGGTATTCCCAAGCGGTCACCCATCTAGATACTAACCATCTCGATGTTGCTTAACTTCGGTAATCGTACGGGAACCGGTGTTTCAATCTGATATAGCCATAAACACCGAAAAAAGAAGAAAATCAAAAAGAGTTGCTAGACTCGAGCTAAGAACGAAAGAAAATTAAAAAAAAATGAGAATTTTTGTATATTTGCGTGTGTGTGTGTGTGTGTGTGTGTGAGAGAGAGAGAGAGAGAGAGAGAGAGAGAGAGAGAGAGTGTGTGTGAAAGAGAGAGAAAAGGAGTGAGATAGAGAGATAGGAAGATTGCAAAAATTTGGACTCTGAACAAACATGACAGTGGATTCTTCGCCTCTCTGTCTGGTCACTTAATTATCTAATCAATTTCTGTTAGCAAAGTGTGAGATCCCTTTTTTCTATGAAGTGGGAAGTGGATGGTGTTGATATGAGAAAAGAATCGACTCTTTTTTTTTTTCGCCCCCTACTCTCTTTTATTGCACACCGGACGGCCCCGTCGCCAAAAGCGAGAGTCATCGACAAAGCGTGACGGGTTGTAAAATTCTCAGTAAGAACTCAGCATATCGCTATAGACACAACAAGGATTTTACCACGTCAAATGGAATCTCATCAAAAAATAGTCAACTTGAAGGTGTCTTCCAAGCATCCTCTTCCTACGTCAACCTTCTCGAATTTTCAGAATCTTGCTTCTTTTTTTTTTAATAATATTTTTTCGTTTTTTTTTTTAATTTATTTCTTGATTCGTTTCTTACAGTTTTTCTTATTGTATTGTGCCTTTTAGGTTTAAACTTTTTCAGAATGTTCTTTTTTCATTTCAACGCTTTTTTTCTTTTTCTGAAATCTCTGTTTTCCAACTTTTCTTTCTTTATATCTTTCTCCTGAAATAAGTGTCTTTGTCTTATCCAAATGTTCTTTGTTCGCCTGCTTGTTTTCTTTTTCTTTTCTTTATTTCTTGCTTTCTTGCTTTTCGTAAATATTCAATTTTCCAATTTCTTTCTTTCTTTCTTTCTTTCTTTCTTTCTATTTCCAAATATTCCATTTCCCAGGTTCTTTCTTTCTTTCTTTCTTTCTATTTCCAAATATTCCATTTCCCAGGTTCTTTCTTTCTTTCTTTCTTTCTTTCTATTTCCAAATATTCCATTTCCCAGGTTCTTTCTTTCTTTCTTTCTTTCTATTTCCAAAAAATTCCATTTCACAGGTTCTTTCTTTCTTTCTTTCTTTCTTTCTTTCTTTCTTTCTTTCTATTTCCAAATATTCCATTTCCAAGGTTCTTTCTTTCTTTCTTTCTATTTCCAAAAAATTCCATTTCACAGGTTCTTTCTTTCTTTCTTTCTTTCTTTCTTTCTTTCTTTCTTTCTTTCTTTCTTTCTTTCTTTCTTTCTATTTCCAAATATGCCATTTCCCAGGTTCTTTATTTCTTTCTTTCTTTCTATTTCCAAATATTCCATTTCCCAGGTTCTTTCTTTCTTTCTTTCTTTCTTTCTTTCTTTCTTTCTTTCTTTCTTTCTTTCTATTTCCAAAAAATTCCATTTCACAGGTTCTTTCTTTCTTTCTTTCTTTCTTTCTTTCTATTTCCAACTATTCCATTTCCCAGGTTCTTTCTTTCTTTCTTTCTTTCTTTCTTTCTTTCTTTCTTTCTTTCTTTCTTTCTTTCTTTCTATTTCCAAATATTCCATTTCCCAGGTTCTTTCTTTCAAATTTTTCTTTCTTTCTATTTCAAATATTCCATTTCCCAGGTTCTTTCTTTCTTTCTTTCTTTCTTTTTTTCTTTATTTTCTTTTTTCTTTCTTTCTTTCTTTCTAGCCTTTTGTTTCATCCTTCAAGTTCCTCAATTTCTTCACTCTCTCACATTATTTCCCTCAATTCCCTCCTTTTTCTATACATATGTACACGCACACACGCGCGCGAGCTCACACATGCACATCACGTACACACGTAAAAACACATACACACACATGTAACAAATGTAAGAACACAAGAAAAAATATAAATATATATATATATATATATATATATATATATATATATATATATATATATATATTTGAGTATTTTTTGAGTTCTTACATATTTTCTTTTCTGGAAATTGTACAAATGTCCTGTAAATAATGCTATAGTTGTAGCCATTATCAAGAATGATTTTATTTTTATTTTTAACTGAATGCATGGATTTTTTAGGTATATATCTAGCGTTATAGGAATAATTTATTTCCCAAACACGGTCAGCATATTGTGGCTGTGTTCATAGTTGATGTTATTGAGTGTTGGCTTTTTCTTTTTCTTTTTTATTAATATTGCTTTCATTATTTTTAACCTTTTTTACATGTGGATAAGACTATTATATTTGTATTATCAACGAGTATGGACGTCTCCTTGTATATTTAAATGACACCCAATGGAGTTATCGTCAGATATTGTGTGCGATGGGTAAATTGTTGCTATTTATATTTTTATTGTCGCGCAGGCACGTTGTTCGTTTTGATTTTGTCGACTGCACAGTATAGTTGGGTCAATTGTGCATCGTCTGTGAGAAAAAGAGCACCATGACGCAATTAACTCCGCCAGAAATTTGGAAACGGCATGCTGTACTACTTGGCATTCGCAACAGAAGTTCCAAAACGAACCTTTTAGAGCGCAGAAAATTTGGAAAGAGTTGGAGGAGTCTAATGGTGATTACGAAGGTACGGCAAATTTTAAAAACTCGCTTGATCGTTCTGAAAAGAAAAGCACTACCGAATTTGTTGATGAGATCCAGGACATGAATGAAAACGATCCCTCTAAGCCAACCAGGTTCATAGCCAAGGACGTAATGTTGCACTGGGCCAAATAGGTGTTTGCTGGAAGAACCTATGTCTGGCAACAAGACTGCGCCATGCCACACACACAAGAGAACCAAGAACTCATGGCTGTCAGACAATTTCTGCGATCACATCACCTCTTACATTTGGCCACTTAACCCACCAAACTGCACCACCCTTGATTATTATGTGTGGGGTGCAGCTGAAAGAGTGACCAACAAAACTTCATGGAATACCAAAGATGAACTAGTAGCATTCACCAACTTAAACAAAGAGACCGTCTACAAGAGATGCAAGAGATTCCAACTTGTCTGGAGGCCGTAGTTGAAGACAATGGCGATTTTATTAAATAAATTTACTCTTGAGTATTTCAAGATATTTTTGTGTAATTTTGGTAAATATATCTGTTAAAATGAGATGTTATTATTTTTTGGTTTTTGTTAATTTAGACGACAATTTTCTCATGGATCCTCTCTCTCTCTCTCTCTTCTATTATATATATATATATATATATATATATATATATATATATATTCCAGCGTAGGTCACCTTTGGTAAATGCCTGAAAACCATACCTCGTAAGTGAAATTGGGTAGATAGAATATTAGCGGGACCATCGACACCTGTGCTAGCTCGAAGTCACAAGTCATCATAAGCGAGGGTTTGAGTGTCCCTGGCCTTGTTGATCACGTTAGATAACACGCTCTCCCAGAAACTGTAAATAAGGTCTTCCTAGTATAGTTGCAGTATAAACAACAGATTTTTAACTATGGGTGTTGAACACCGTAAATGCGCCTGAGCAAGCGTCTGCAATAGGGATTGACTAGCCGACCTGTTTTGACGGTATCCTCGAATGCGAGTGGCCAGCAATTTTTTATTATATATATATATATATATATATATATATATATATATATATATATTTAAAACACAGTTATATTTAATTGTTGAAAACACAATTATACTTAAACATGAAAACAATAAACAAAAAACTAAAAATTCTTGAAGCAATATACATAAAACAGTTGAAACCTAACTTAAACAAAATAAACTATGAAATCTCCACAAATATCCTTAAATGTCTATAATTGGTAACAGAAGCCGTTGGTTTATACCAACGGCTTCCCATACTTAATATTTCTCGAATTCCCTCTCGCATCGTCATGTGTAATGTCATGAACTGCGGTGCGATGTTCGCTTCCAGCGTCTTATATGCATGTGTTTATCGCTGCTTGGAAACCATCCATGTAAACAGTAACAGACTATCTTCACTGTCTTGTCCGTATATTGCTTAATATATTGTACAGTAATTGTCATCTTTGATAATGGCTTAGATTGGATTAAAAAATATGGATCAATATTGTGATTTTCTATCTTCGTTTAATGATAATGTTATTAAGCTTATCAGACGTTATGAAAAGAATTTACATAAAATAAATAGACAACACTTGTCTATATTATTTAATGAAACATGTATGAATGAAAAATGCTGCCTAAATAAACAATATATATATATATATATATATATATATATATATATTAAGAAAATGGACAAGGTCCGACAATTTATTTAAAGACATTTTATTTATGTTTAACGTTGTTATTTTTATAGATACAAGTATTTAAGCAATGCTCTGTTTAAGATAAACAGTATTAAATAACATTATGTCCAGCCTGAATGTCAGGATCTGAACCGCATCCTAGAAATTTTTCATATGAAAATATTCGTTCTATGAACGAATATTTTCATAATTCCTGCATTCTATACGGAACTGTCATATACGCTGACATGCCTTACCACTCTTAAACATGTTTATGTCGCGTAAATACTTGTATCAGTTGAACGTTAAACATAAATAAAAATGTCTTTAATAAATAAATTGTCGGACCTTATCCATTTTTAATCGTCATTTATTTACATTCGATACGCCAAGAGCAGTTATAGATATGCGAGATTCATGGAAGATTGTAGTTTATAACAGTAAATTCGACCTTGTCTACTATAAGGTTCATGGTGGCCAGTGGTAAGGCATGTCAGCGTATATGACAGTTCCGTATAGGATGCAGGTTCGAATCCTGTCTATGAACGAATATTTTCTATGAAAATTTCTCGGACATTCAGGCCGGTAAACGTTATTTAATACTGTTTATCTTAAACAGAGCATTTTGCCAAATACTTGTATCTATAAAATAACAACGTTAAACATAAATAAAATGTCTTTAATAAATATATATATATATATATATGGATTCATTGTGTGATTGCGTCCTGCTTCTTAGTATTTCATAACGTCAATATAGGTTTCATTATTTCTTTAATTTTCAATTCTTTCTTTATACTAATATACTGCATATTTTAATCATATTATTCAAGAATATAACCCATCCTTCTGTTCTTTCTACTCCACTGTTCCGCTATCTTCCTATATTTTATCTATCGAAGAGCCTACAAATCTCTCTTAAATACTTGCTTTTTCTTTTCTTCCCTTCTTTAAACATTTTGATTTTCACGATTCAAAATGAATTTCCTCGATGCCTCTTTATCATTCACTGTCGAAACGAACGGTTTGTCTTTCATTTAAACTCAACAGCAATTTGTCCGCCATCTTTGCGCAATTGTCAATCAATCTCTTCCCGCTGTAAATCTTTCGTAGCAATGTTCTTCTCACTTCTAGCTTTTTGGAATAGTTTTTTTTCTCTCATTTATCTCATTTTTTTAATATTAACTGAACAATATCAGAATTCCTCCAATATTTTGTGAAAACGTTTCCAACAGAGATTTTTAAAAGAGCATCAATCCATACAAATTCATCTCAATATCGCCACAGCGGTAAAAATTGGGTTTAGTTATACAGGCTGGTCCCTGAAAGACGGAATAATATAAAACAAAAATAACTTTTGTAAACTTATGTTTCTTTCAATTTTTATTTTTTTTTTTGGAGATATAATTAATGCATTTCAGAATCTTCTGGAGCGATGTTGTGTCGATGCCTAGTTGAGCAGAGAGACGACGGGTAGAAGCAGATGGATCTTCAAGAACATTCTGCCATACAACTTCCACCGCTGCGTGAGGGCGCACAGCGCGCTTAGGACCTCTTTTCAGAAAATCGACGACTGATTCAGGTCTTTCAAAATGGACGATTAGGAGATACTCTGACATTAAAATGTTGCCGGTGGTTTCTTTGAGTTTGAAGAGTTGATCTTTCATTGGAATAGAAAAACTCAGTGAGATTTACTCGTTACTGGATATCATACGTAGCCATTTTAATGTCTAAGGGATACTTCAAAAAAGTAAAGAAAGAAGACTGAAAACAAACAAATCATGATTTTTTAAAACAAACAAATCATGATTTTTTAAAACTTTTCAGTTTTTCAGTGGCCATCATATACAGGTTGTAAACGATTCATGTCTATTTTTTTAATTAAAATTTTTTGCTTATAAACCTTTTGTTTAAAGAAAGCGATTGTTAATGATGTTTAAACATATGACCCGGAATTAAACCTGAAACACTTTGTCAGCCTAAGGCTAAAATATTGTAACCATGTTTTCATGTTGCTTTTTTTGAAAAGTGTAGTAATTTCGTTCCACAGACACACACACACAAACACACACACAGACACACACACACAAACACACACACACACACACACAGATACACACACACACACACACAGAGACACACACACAGACACACACACACACACACCTACGTGTAGCCAATTTTGTAAGAGAAACCACTGTCTAATCCGGCATCCTTTGCTTCATGTGACCAAGCAGTCGGATTAAACGGTGGTTGCTACACAAAGAATGATACAGATTTGAACTCTTGTACTGGTGAGTGGGGGACACATTTTCTTTATAAAGATCCTCTGATGGCCAGAGGGGTATCTGTAATTTTCACTATTTTTAAAATAAAACAAGACGTCTACGGAAGTATATCGTTTAAAGTAATTAGAAATATATATATAATATATATATATATATATATATATATATATATATAT